ATCACACTTTACAGAGTTATTAATCCGAAACCGCGAAAATGCCCAATCTCCACATTATAAAGAATACTTTAAAGTGATCCAGAATCCGAATCCAGATCAAATTTGGGGAGGCCTGTCCCATATTGACTTCCCTTCTTGTGTAAAATGTTTGTGTACATCGGTTTATTAATTTTCGAAATACGCCCGCAGAAACACAGACAAACTTAATTGCAATACCTTATCCCCCTCCCCTTTTGGAGGCGAGGGTGAAAATCACGATACCAGCGTTTCACGTGCATAATAAATTTATATGTATAAGGTTAAAAGAAAAAAAACATGCTCTACATGTTTCGGTGGACAACATGATCCACCATCTTCAGGAGACCTTCATGTGGATTTTGTTGTCCACTGAAACATGTAGTGTTTTTTTTTATTTTAATCTTATACAAGTAAATTTACTGTGCGCGTGAAACGCTGATGTCGTTATGTTTATTCTCACTTAAAGTATGCACAAGTACTGTCAGTCTAATGTATTAAATGTTAACATATTCGTTTTTACGATTCGTTAAAGCGTACATTTTAGTATTTGTACTCGGTATCGTACAGAGTATATAGATTTTAGTCCTACCAATCGTTTTTCACATGCGTGACTACAAACTGTTAATTTTCATAAATAGTTAGGTTTTTTTTTAGAACTTCAATACTTTTTTATCGATAAGATAATAATAATAAATATTTTTTATGCAGATATAAACATCAAACTTTTTTAAATCCTGAAAATTCAATATCTCAATTTTCTTTTAGACTAAAGTCCCTAATTAGGCTTAAGTCATATTCCAATACTTATTATTCGTTTGTTCATTGTACTTTATTTATTTCCCAGTAGTCTCTAAGTAATTAGTTGGCTATTTCAAATATTATGATTTTTTTTCACAATTTAGATGTTAGACAAAATGTCCTATCTTTTTGTATAGGCCCGGCATGAGCGCCCTAACCACCTGGCCCTAAGATACACGAGGGCTATATGCGCTAGCAGTCCCTAATTTAGAAGTGTAAGACTAAAGGGAAGGCAGCTAGTCATCACCACCTACCGCCAACTCTTGGGCTACTCTTTTACCAACGAATAGTGGGATTGACCGTCACATTATAACGCCCCCACGGCTGAAAGGGCGAGCATATTTGGTGGGACGGGGATTCGAACCCGCGACCCTCAGATTGCGAGTCCGCGAAATTCAAAACAAACAAACTTTTTGTATATTCTTTACTGCAACGGAAAATTTTGAAAGTAAATTGTTTTGACTTCCCGTTGCGAACGAAAATAGCGGAATTATTTTAATACGTAGTAAATCAACTGAGTCAGATAACATAACAAAAATAGTTACACTACACTAGAGGGCGTATTTAAAATAGACCAGCCGCTTCTTTTCAGTGTTTCTGAACTGTCATTACGAAAATTAAATTGAATTATAGAAAACAAAAAGTATTTAGCCGAACTCAAAACACATGTTAAATGGTTTTAAAGTAAGTTATCTATTTATTGTATAAATTTGTATTAAAAGCCAATTTTATTTTTGGTATTTGTTAAAATTAAGCTGTCAGTGTTTATTTAGATTAGACTCTCTCTAACAGTTAAGAAGGAAGACTAGTAATCCAAACTTGGTGCCAATTTATTTTTCTCTTCGAGATGCTGATGTTTCAAAGTGTTTTAATTTTGGTCGGTCCCAAGTTTGTAATACAAAAGCTTCAATTTAGAAATACCATTATGTCTTTGATGTTATTAGGACATACTGATACATACTCCTAATAAAAGGTACAGCGTAAAATTAAAGTTATATCACTTGATATCACTAGACGGCGCTATTAATGTAATTATATCACAAGGATGGTGATTGAAAAGAATAATGCAGATATTAGCAAAAGTAGTTACTGTAAAAATGCCCAGAAAATAATATATATGTTGATGTTTGTAAATAATAACATTAATAATAATTACATTAAACATGTGATAGTACGTCAAGAATCAATTTAGCAACACTAGTTTGTTTGAGATAATGTTTTATAATATTAGTCAAAACATTTAGCTTGAATAAGAAAGTCTTGATAACCCACGTGTACAAATGTTTAATTTCTGCAGACAGAATATGAAAATATACTTTGTCACGTATCCGTGTTTTCATGGGATTCAATGTTTCACGTTGTTTCGAATATTTCTCTTTGATACCCCAAAAGCCCCCTCACTGTTCATTTGTATGTGTTTGTTTGTTTGTTTG